GATCACTCCGGAAATATTGGCACAGGAACTGAGAACTAAACAACGAAACAAAGTTTTATCTGTGACCAAACCATTGAAATCTAGTAATCGCAGCTTGACAGGGCTTTGCTGCCACTGCGATATCAAGATTTTCAAAGGTTCTATTGATACATTATCAACCATGGATATCAAATGTTTGAGCAGCGAAAAGGCTGAAAAGCATGAAGGGCAGATATCTCTCGTTCGCCCAAATAGCTGAGAAGTCATATTAACGTCTAAAGGTACACAAAGCTTTGTGATGTTGCACCCCGAAAGAAGATGTGTTAAAGACATCAATTAACTCGTATAAATTAGGTGTATGCACGTGGCTGAAGCACTCCTATACTGATTACAATTACAAAATTGCGGTACTCCCTGACCCAAAAAAAGAAATTTGCATTTCAGCTAGGACTGGAATCAGAGATGTTCCCATCCATCACATTCTGCAACGTCAATCCTTACAAGAAAAGTAAGATAGAAATGGTTCCAGCTCTCAAAGCACTGGTCAGTCCTTTTCCATAGACCAACAAACAACAATTAAACTAATTATCACTTAATTTCAGATGGACGTCTATGAACTGTCAGCCAGCGGATCTCTTTCCTCTGGATCATGAAGATAAAGCAACAAAGAAATTTCCGAAAGCATACAACTTTATCTCTTAAGCTCATCTAAATGAATCATATAATTTTTTTTTGCTACTTATAAGGGTCGTGAAGCAAAAAGCCAGCACCACAACCTTAAAGATACATAATGGTAGTAAGTAAATGGGTCAATACATTGGTATAGCTTTGAAGTAACCGAATTTGTCACAAGGCACTGCAACTATTAATCTATAATACTATGAATCTTGGGCGTAAATCAATAGATGTGCTCGAGGAGCCTTAAGAGTTTAGCTATAAACAAGTCGATTAAGAAATGAAGAAAATTTGTAAAAAGCAGAGTCAATAATCTGGTAACCGTCGAGATGGGTGCACAATTAGTACGTAAC